TTGGACACTATATAGCAGAGTTGAGAGATCTTTAAAGGAAATATTTTCTTCACGAGTACATTGCTCCTTTTTCCCATGACATAAGATCAGATGAATCACAGGCTGGCAGTGGAACTTTAGATGTCCTCTGGTCTGGAGTTTGATTATTCTAGGAACACAGCAACTTTTCTTTAAAATCATGAAAATTTCTGGTGGAGAGACATATAATTTAAAATTTTAATGAGGTACATAATAGTTTTATTTCTTCTGGGGCCAGTATTTTAACACTATGATTACTTTATTGGAGACTGGATAGCACATAAGAAGAGACTTCAAAAGACCTTTGCAAATGCAGACATAAAGGATAATGAACAGCTTTGAAGAGAAAGTGAAACCTGTGCAAATGTTCCATATTAATATCCTAGACCTAGGGGACAGTAATGCCCCTCCAGAGGAGAGGAACTATGGAAAGAACACACAGAATTCTGAATTTCGAAGGCTTAGCTGAAATTTGCCTTGTTCCAGGTATACCGCCAGTTTTACTGACATGAGCCTCAATTCCATTGTGTGATATTTATTTATTCATATTTCAATTTTCATTAGCCTTTGTTTATTGTACAATAAGTTTCATTATGAAATTCCATAAATATTTATAATATACTATGATTGTCATCAGTCTCCTATTGCCATATCCTGCTCCTCCAACACACTATACTGTTCCCCTTCTTCTGCCTCCAAACCATCCTTACACCTTCATGTATTATCTCTATTGCATTATTATTTTTCTCTTTTATTATTATTGCCATATACATATATGTATATACACATATGCAACCTTTTGAATTTATTTATTATTGCTTGTATGCATGTATATGCTTTTAGGATTGACTACTTTGTATTGGATAACATATTAGAGAGCTTAAACCAAAGGAAGACTAATTCTTTTTCCCTCTGTAACCATTCATTTTTTTTAAGCTCTTTATCCAGGGATGGGTCCTCATGTGATTTCTTCCATCCACATTTGTTTGTCAATTATCAATGTTTAGGTCATTTAGTCTACTACATTGTTAATATTTCACAAGTGTAATTTGCCTGTCTTATATGAAACACAACAATAACCAGCATGGTGAGATATTCCCAGAGGTAGCATTTCTATCTTGGCAGTAACCAATAGCAGTTTAATTGGACGTAAGGGCTATTCGTTCAGAAAGAATTGTGCCTAGTAAGTACTGTAGATGAAGTACAGTACTTACTAACTACCCATGAGTCACGAGGCCATAGAATCTAGAGGAGTACCTACTTTCATAAACCATTGTTAATGCTTCTCATGCCCACAGGTAAATAGATCAATCCTCATCAAAGAAGGTCTTTTTTCCCAACAGATGGAGAGGATTACAGCAATCCACAACCAGTCAAAACACAAAGAACAACTGACCATGTGGTTCCCATCCCTAAATACATCAACAACACAAGTGTTCAACTAAGACTCAGCAAACTTCTTGGAAGATGGGAAGAAAGTCTGGAAAAAGCAGAAACTGGGATATTTTTCTGGAAGGTTTTCAATTTCCTCACTTGTAAAAAAAATTAAGAATCCATAATTTATCTCCAAAGAGGAATCAAGGAGTCTTGGAACTCTTTTTCTCTATCAGCCAGATGGTTACTCCCATAGCACCTTATTTCCTGTATGCAAGCATTCACCACCTCACCCTCCATCTAAGCTGAGTACTGAGAGCAGCTAACACTAGGCCCTGTTCCTATTTACTGTCTTTGCTCACTAAGAAGTCCGGAACTTCCATACACTCCACACGTCCAAATTCTGTGCCTTACATGGCTGAAGGAGGTCGGGGGCATTTCTTATAGTCCCTGCTTTAATTTTCCCAAAGCATTTCCCTTCCTCATCCAATAAAACATGATGGAGGAAGGTCATTGGCCAATAAAGAAACTGCTTGGCCCTGTGGGTGGAGGAAATAGAACAAAATGCTGGGAGGAAGACGAAGTGAGGTCAGACTAGACAGCTCTCCTCTCAGGAGCAGACGCCTGAGAGAGACACCATGCCCTGCTCCTGGGATGAAGCTCCGAACCAGGATGGACATAGGCTAGAATCTTCCCGGTAAGCGCACCTTGGGGTGCTACACAGAGATGATTAGAAATGGGCTAAATTAATATGTGAGAATTAGCCTAGAAGAGAATGGGCCAAGCAGTGTTTAAAAGAATACAGTGTCTGTGTAATTATTTCGGGGCATAAGCTAGGCGGGCAGGCGGCTGGGGTGTTGGGGACACAGCCCCTCCGCCGCCCTTATTACTTCAAAAACAGTTTTGAAATTTTAGTAATTTCCAAGTTTTTTTTAAACAATCATAAGTTAAAAGTTAGAGAATTATAGGATACTTGATCGCTTTTCCTTATTTTGGTGTCCCTGGTGCCTATAAACTTGCCCAGCACACGTCGAGCATCTGTCCCATGCTCAGCTATTTGGACACGGTACTGATGAGAACACCGAACACCATTGTAGATGAGTCAGACTAACCAAATGTACACAGTGAGAAATAAGAAAGCTGAACAAAATTGCATCTTTGCTGTAAAGAAATTGAAAAGATATGTAATAACCTTGCAAAAATGAATCCTCCTAGCTTCCAATGTTTTCATTAGGGAACTCTACAATATATTTAAGGAAGCAATGATAATAACTCTTGGGGAAAACAGGGCAGAGAGAAAAACTTATAAATTCGTTTTTGAAGTGTGAATTAAGCTAATTCAAAGCTCAGAAAATGCATTAAGGGAAAGAAAAAGAAAAGAGCAATATTTCTCGTGGAAGTAATCACAAAAATTTAAGCAGATACTATTCAGCTCCTTACAAATTTAAGAATTTAAAACTTACTTTGTGAAAAAGGATCAAAATCCAGTATCTAAAATATAATCAACTACAAAAACAATTTCAGGAATGAAAAGAAACTGTGTTCTATTTTATTTCAAGTAAATACATTAATAGTGAAATAAGTAAAAATATTTTTCTAAATCACACAGACAAAATGGACAAGATGATGATTTCACTTATTACCTGGAATAATTATAGATACTGTCCTTAATATAATCAAGAATCCTGAAAATAAATCCAAAACACTTTTCACCTAGTATTATGTTTAATGATAAAAATGTAGATTGTTTCTTCCCAAATGAGTATCATGAGAAGATTGTTACTCATACTGCTTTAATTCAACATAATATTGGTAATGCCACCCAGTTAAACAACATAGTAAAAAGGAATTTGCATGTATGTCAATTGGAAGTGCAGAACAAATTTTCTCTTCATGGAGAAAATAAGATTGCCCATAATATGAAATTATATGCAAGTCATTTTATGAAATTTGTATATGAAAACACCTCAATTTCTATCATAATTTCAATTAAAATGGAAATTAGAGCTTTCATTTAAATATAGAAATACTAAATATAAATATAAAATAAATATATATTTTAATTTAAATATATGACTTATATTTAATTTAAATATAATTTCTGGAAATGACCAGACCCAGTAAAAGGTGAACAGGGGATTTCTTTCTTCTTTCTTTTAAAGAGTGTTAATATTTGATATTAAATAATAGTGTATACAGGACAATGAGCATCCTTAAAAAATATCTATGGCATTCTTTAAAACAGAGTAAACTTTATTACATTCAGTTTCTGAGGTCAGAACATATCTGGGTATGCTGGCTTGATTTATGTCAACTTAAATTCCTCCCATAGGAGGAAATTCCAACTGAGATAATGTCCCCATGAGACCGGACAGTGGGCCAGTCAGTAGAGGATTTTTTATTAGTGATCAGTGGGAATTGCTTATCCCATTGTCAGTGGTGCCATCTCTGGGCTGGTGGTCCTGTGTTCTATAAGAAAACAGGCTGAGCAAGACTAGAAGACTGAGCCAGCCATGGAGAGCAAGCCAATAAGCAGTACCTCTCCATGGCTTCTGCTTCAGCTCCTGCCTCCAGGTTCCTGTCCTGTTTGAGTTCCTGTCCTGGCTCCCTTTAGTGTTGAACTCTGATGTTGAAGTGCAATCCAAATAAACCTTCTCCTCCCCAACTTGCCTTTTGATCATGATGTTTCATCAAAACAACAGTAGCCCTATACCACTGAGTGATATGGAGATTGTGACAAACAGCTCTAAGTACATTATTACTGTATGAATAGTGTCACTGAGAGTGATGAAAAAGTCAGATACTGACCTCTGTGCCTTTGCATTCACGGAGTCTGTAAGAACCAAGGAAAATAATGTACATACACTGTGCTCTAGCTGGTAAGAGTTGTTTCCCTTAGACCTGCAAGTTGTCTATTGTGGAATAATTATGCATGTACACCTAAACTGAACACACATTTACAAGGGATATGCTATCTTGGGTAGAGAATGAGTAGTTACAAATAAGAATAGTGATTGGAAGCCAAGCATAGCAGCATATGACTTTATCCCAGCACTTCAGAGGAAATACAGGTGGACCTCTGTGAGTTAGAGGCAACATTGCGCACTAAATCTAAAGACAAACTTCCAGCTTTCCTTCTTTACTCGCTACACCCATAAAACATTAAAAAGTGAAGGAAGAAAGTTCCTGTGTGAATTAAAATAAAGAAATCAACACACACACACACACACACACAAAAAAAAAAAAAACCCAAACTTCAAAATCTTGTTATAGCAATGTAGGAGGCCCCTGTAACTACTTTGGAAAGAGTCATCCAACACTCTGGGGACTTTTGGGTGAGGAAAAAAAATGCACACTGGTTATTTTCATCCAGTATTATCTGGTTCCAGATAAAGTGGTTACAGGTCTGCCCTCATTAGTGTATGTATGGCTATACATACCACTGTAAGGAACTTGTGGCCCTAAAATATTGATACTCTCCAAATGCTTTTGCAAGAATTCAAATACAAGCTCAAATCCCAAATCAACAAACACGTGGCACCTCTGAAAGCCTTGGGATGGACCTTTCAGAGACGTATGGTCTAACTTTCACACCTATGTTTACTAACCTCCGAAGTAAGAGCCATCTGTCAACTTCATTTCTTTACTGGACTTGGTGATAACACCAGCAACACCATGCTGAATGAAGTACATTTTCTTCCCCACCGCTCCTTCTCGAATGATGTAGTCTCCAGGCTGGAACACCTCAAATCTCAGCTTGCTCAGCATGGCCGTCACAAAATTGGGATCCGCATTAGCAAAAAGGGGCATTGTAGCCACCAGTTTCCGGCAGTTGAAGTTGACTATTTCCTAAAGGTGGCAGGAGTGAGCACAAAGGAAGGGGAAACTGAGTCATTTCTGGGAGAAAAAAATATACATTGACTTTTAAAAACATGTACATACAGAATAAAGGCTAATATACATTTTTAAAAATATACGTAAATTGTAATCCGCATATGTCACCAATGTAATAAGTTTTGTTTTAATCTGTATTAAATTTCCATTCCAGTACTTCAGTTTGCATAGAAATACAATAAATCTTCAATAACATATTAATTAAATAATAAAAATACCAGCTATATTTTACTTATTTATTTTGTGTTTGAAATTACAACTTAAAGGTGGAATTTTGATTTTACTTTTATTTATTTAAAGAAAAAAACACAAAGTCCCATAGCTACGAGGTGCAGTGCTGCTTGTCCTGTAATTGATGATCTTGAACAAGTGGCCTGGTACCCACCAGAGAAGAAGAGACAGATGTAGCCAGTATGCATTTTTTTAAAAATCTTATTCAGATGAGAGTGAAAAGGAAATAGAGAGCAGGTGTTACCAAAGGCAGTCAGTGGATGATCATAGATGGAATCTGATTTCTGCTTGGCAAGAACAAACTCTCCTGAATCACCCACTGAAGTCTGAGTTGGAAGGAGGGCATCTCTCTTTTTCCTGTCTCCTTGTTTGCTGTCTAGACAGTCAGAAGCTCTATATGTTTGGCTTAATTTTGAAGATTTTAGCTCAGATTAAAAATATTTATGTCTCTCTAGACTAAAACAACAATATAGGAAAATGTTTTATTATAAACTTTGGAAGAGGCAAAGGTAATGCAAATGTTACCATTATGACATGTCTTCTAGCTCCTTCATAAATGAATCTAACATCAAGGTACCTATCATCAAAGAATATGAAAAAAAGTGCTACATTGAATTATTAATCTTCTTTAAGAAGCCTAGAAACTAAAACCACTTCCCATAAGAGGTGGAAACACTGTAAAATGGGAATATTAACAAAATTAGAACACTTGAAAGCTCTATCTGGGAAAATGTTAGTAATAAGGCCAGAACAGTTCTTGATATTATTTCACAAAATTGCCTGATACTGTCTTAACATATGTAAAAATTTCTAGGTGCTGAATAAAGAAAATTTTATAGCTACATGCAACAGACATTAATCTGCCAAAAAGAGGGTGAATTTCTGTGACAATCAATTTTGTCAGAGACCAATATGTTAAAAATAAACTAAGCACAGAAAGAAACATGCCACACGAGTTTCTTTAGATGTGAAATCTGAAACAGTTGATTCCATGGGAACAGAGAGAGAAAAGAAGAGAGATAATAAGCGGTGGAGCCCAAGATACTAAGTTATGGTTAGATATCATGGAGAAATTTTAGTGTGAGACTATATCAGACAACAACAACAGTAGCAGCAGCAACAAGAACAATATGCTGAACATTTCTGAAAGCCAGAATAAGTAAATTTGAATGTCTGTGCCATAGAAAATTAAAAGTTTTAAGAAACTAGGTATGTTTGCTTTGATTTGAATTCATATACATGCATTAAACAGCAGATGAACATCCATAATTTGTATGTTTTATGCATAAATTAAAAACTCAATTCAATTTAAGGTAATCCCAACTGATAACAGGACATTTAAATTCTGTATCGATAACAATCATTGTAGAAAGCTATATTTGGGGAGGCATGCAATTCTGCCGAGTTCTATGATGCTTATTATTATTCTGGACAGCGTTGCTCTAAAATGTTTTCACCATGGTAGCTATAAATATAATTACCATGATTGCACAAATGAATCACAGAGTGCTCTTAACAAATAAGGCTGTTGTAACATAGCTAAATTCCCACCTCAAACACGCTCAGTATTTTTATACTGTGCAGAAGACACAATAGCTTCCTTCTAGGAACTTAGGGAGACATTAACAAGTACACAGACCTGGAGACTTCTTAATTATTATATTTTAATGTTTTTTTAGTATTGTAAAGAACAGCTGGTCAATCTATAGCAAGTGAAACTTCATCATCTAGTACATCCTATTAAAGAATGCTACCATATTTGTCTCATTTTTATTTCTCATTCAATAGTCGGGTCTAGTTGTATTCAGAAGAACAAATGGACATATCTAGGTACATTTTTTTAAAAGCATCATTTTATTTTTTTAAAATATTTATTTATTTATTTATTTATTATGTATACAATATTCTGTCTGTATGTGGCTGGAGAGATGGCTCAGTGGTTAAGAGCATTGCCTGTTCTTCCAAAGGTCCTGAGTTCAATTCCCAGCAACCACATGGTGGCTCACAACCATCTAGGTACATTTTTAAAGATGGATAATTTCATTTTTGAGAATTAATGTTCTTCCTGAATGTGGTGGTGTAAATGAGAACAGTCCCCATGGGCTCAGATATTTGAAACCTCTGCCTCTAGGTGGTAGAACTGTTTGGGAAGGATTAGACAGTGTGGGTATTGAAGTAGGTGTGTTACTAGGAGTGGCTTTTTGAAATTTCAAAAACTCATGCCATTCCCTGTTATCTCTCTCTCTCTCTCTTTCTTTCTCTCTCTCTCTCTCTCTCTCTCTCTCTCTCTCTCTCTCTCTCTCTCTTCCTAGTGGGTATTGTCTCTACATGTAAAGTCTCATCTGCTGTTCAACCACCATTCTTCCTGCTGCCATGCTTCCTACTACTACAGTTACATAATATAATCCTCTCCAACTTTCTGTCCTCTGATTAATTGCTTTCTATTACAAGTTACCTTTGTCACAATGATTCATTTATTATTAAAGTACTTTTTAAACTCTTAGTTACGTTTAATAATAATTTCACCAAAAAGTTACTTGTATTTTATACGCAAGAATCAAAGTTTGCCTTGGTTATTAACTGCTCTAATATAATGAATCAAAACTTTTTGAAAACTAAGAAAAACTTATTTCCTATGTTAAATTAATTCTGTCCTATATGATCCTTAATGTGTTGGGTAAGCAGGAAGCATTTCCTGTTTTTCAGCACAAACCTGGCAGAGCAGTTCAAAGCAGAAGAAAACAGATGTCATGAAACATTACTAAGTGATTCAGAAGGATCTTGATGAGCAAGAACACAGGCCTACCGGAACTTTTTTTTTTTTAAAAAAAAAAAAAAATCCAGTGGTATACTCTTGTAAATGCAGCCCTAGAAACTTCTATATACAAGCAGTTCTGAGCAGACTTAGCAGGTTACAATTGTATGTTGATTCATTTACATGTATTCAAAACAACACTGGATAAAGAAGAGACCACCATATACTCGATAGGGAGAAACAATATGCTAGGGATAGAACAATTAAGAGGGAGGGGAGAGATGATGTGATTAGATTTTAGTTAAAGAGTAAAAAAAAAAAAAACACAAGTCTGGATTGTGAGGAAGTAGACTCCAGGTGACTGCACCGCTGAGCACACACACAGCACAAGCAGACTGTGTGTCCTTGCTACTCTTATGTCGCCTTGACACGGGCTATAGTTACCTAAAAGAAGGGAACCTCAACTGGGAAAATGACTCCCTAAGGATGGAAAGAAATCAGACAAGCTTGTAGGAAATTTTCTAAATTAGTGATCAGTGGAGGAGGGTCTAGTCATTTGTGAGTATGGACACCCCTGAGCTGGTGGTCCTGGGTTTTTTTAAGAGAGCAGACTGAGTAAGCCATGTAAAGGTCACCCCTCCATGGTCTCTGCATCAGTTCCTGCCTCCAGGTTCCAGCCTTGTTTGAGCTACTGTCCTGACTTTCTTTAGTAACTGTGATATGGAAGTGTAAGCCAAATAACCCCCTTTCCTCTCCAGTTTGCCTTTTCGTCATGGTAGTTCATCACAGCAACAGAAACGCTAAGTAGGACTAGATAGTAGCTGTTAGCAGTTTTCCAAAGAGAAAATGTAGAAACTAGAAAGAATGCAAGAACCACTGGTTTACAGCTTATCAGGTGTGCTCTATTATCTCAGTGATGATGACACATCATGCTTTCTAAATGCTACTGTTTTCTCATTTAACTATAATTTAAAACCCAGTGAACAGTTACATCATTAACAGAATCATAGAGATGAGCCTAATAGGTCTCAAAGAGGTGATTTAACAAAAATCACTTGAAATTCAGGAAATGAAGTCGGGTTTTTAGAGAAGTATATTGTCATTCTCAGACATTGTTTCCTACCATTGGGGGGTCAGCAGATAAATGGAGCTATTCAACTACTTAGTGTGGCTAGTGGGATTGAAAGGTTGAATTTTCACTTTACTGATTTCTAATCAATTTAAGTTTAAAGTTTAAAATTTGTCAGTTAGTTGTTGAGCAAAACCTGTCTGGAAGATCTTGGCCAGGCAATCACACTCAGCTGTGAAGTATGTGAAATCTGCATATTGGTTGTTTCTGAGGAGAATCTGGAGTCCAAATCATGATGTGCTATAAAAACAACACTGTGCTCCAGGTTGTGTACTGTAGACATTAAGAAACACAAACTCTCACTTTAATGATGCTCTAATATAGACTGCATTCTGAAATCTCATTTTAACTAGGTACATTAGAAATGAATTCACATTTCTTTTCATTGTTGATGTAACCATTTGGAAATTTAACATGATCTATGATTCATATTACATTCCCACTGGGCATTGGACAGCATTAGAAACTAGTTAATGCCATGTATAATAATATTTTAAAAGAAAAAATGACATGATGCATTTCTAGACATTTGAATCTCCAGTGAAACATTCTGCAAGACGAACAAGAAATAGAAGGGGGGTAGATTAGAGAGGCATATGGCGACAGTAAGGAGCTATATGTTGGCTCCAATTGAAACAACCACAGACCTGTATTATATATAGGTGGATACCAAGTGACAGTTCCGTAAAAACAGACGACTACTGAAAACCAGCCAAGATGGAATTGGGGAGTTCATATTGCTGCCAACGATCCTTAACTTCCTTCTATACTGGCATCTCCATATCATTAGCTTTGTAGATTTTCCTGTTAAAGCCATGTATCTGTCATACCACATCCTAA